TGCAAGGCTCCTGTTATGTAAGGTTTTTTTAAAAAGTGTATTCATTTATCTCCCCCCAGGAGGGGGGAGGGGCAAATAAAGAGGGAAAGGCACCCCGGCAAGGTCTTGCTGCCATGACCCACCCCGGCCTCGGTCAGCCCAGATCACGGCACACACGTGCACAGCCTGGGGTACCAGGGAGGCCCTGGGGTGCAGGCCCAGGACCCTTCCCATGTGGGTCCAGTTTCACTGCTACCGTGCCTCTGCCTGGCCCCATGTTTGTTTGCAAAGGTGATGAAAATATACTGGATTGGGACCAGCAGTTAGCATAATGGCTATGTCGCTGGACTCCCACCTAGTCGACCGCGGTTCGTGTCCCGGACCCGGTGGCTTAAAACTCACGCCGGGCCCGTGTGCATGTGTGCCCAAGATCCCGAGAGGAGAATGGAGGAGAAGGGATTGCAGCGTGGCCATCCCCCCGGGGGGTGATTTCTCGCTTTCTCTCTGTCTCTGTCGAGCGCACGTGCCCTATAGCAAAAACCTCTCAAAAAAAAAAAAAATTAAATTAAAACTGATTTTTTGTGGTGGTGATGGTCATACAATATTTTGAATTTCCAAAAGCCATTTTCCTGCACAGTTTACAATGGTTAACGTGTGGTAAATTTCTTGTTATTGTAAATTTATCTCCATTTTTAGAATATGAAAATCCATACGTAGAAGCTGGAAAGAAGCAGCGCTTGGTTGAAGCACTTGGTTCGCATTCTATCGACTCCTCACAGGGAGGCCGTACGGGAGCTGGGGAGGTGGCTGGGGATGGTGGAGACAGGCTGCCTGGCCTCCAGTCCTCGTGCAACATCTTTTTATCCCTGTAGGGCTATCTGTATATCTTTCTCTGCGAATTGCACTGCTGCCCTTTAAAAAGGAGCTTTCTGGGGGCCGCCAGGTGACATGGTGGTTAAGGCAGCTGGACTCCCACATGGCTGACTGCAGTTTGAGTCCTGGATTTGGCAGCTTGCTTTCTCACTTTCTCTCTCTCTCTCTCTGTCTGCCCCTCTCTGGTCAAAATAAAACAAATAAACAAATAAAGTGAAATAAAAAAATAATTCTTTTTAAAAAAAGGAGCTTTCTTCACAACCCTGTATACTAGCTTCTAATTAGGTCACATGACCAGACCTCTAGCTGCAAGGGAGACTGGGAAATAGACAAAGGAACTTCAGAAAGTTTGTGGAAAGTGACTATTATAAGAAAAGTATCATAGATTTCAAAAATTTTTGCACCCAAAGAAATTCATGCTGTAATTCTATTTTTCACAAACTTTTTGAAATCTCCCTGTAGTTTCTTTTCTTTTTTAAAATAAAAGAATGAATTATTTAATTTAGGTCTAAATTATTTTTTAGAGAGAGATTTTTGCTGTAGGGTGTTTGTGCTCGCCAGAGAGACAGAAAGCAAGAAATTACCCCGCAGGAGAGATGACCACACCACAATCCCTTCTCCTGTTGGTACTTTGGACACACACACACAACTGTGCCTGGCATGAGTTTGAAGCCATCGGATCTGGGACTCCAACCACTGTTGACGATTTAGGAGTCCAGCAATGTAACCATTACGCCATCTGCTGGACCCCATTTAATTTTATTTATGATTATAATTATGGTTATGATTATTTGACCAGATAAAGAGAGGGAATGGGAGAAAGTAAGCCACCAGGTTCAAGACTCAAAATGCAATTGGCCATGTGGGAGTCCAGCATCTCAACCACCATGCGACTTACTGGCCCCTGTTTTGTTTTTTTCTTTATTCACGATAGACTGTGTACATGGGCGTGCAGCAGGGTCAGGTCGTGCCACAGCCTCCTTCCTCCAGTCCTCTAACCCATGAGGTCTTCGGCACTTGTGCACATGTCTAGCGTGTTTCAGGGTGAGCAGACTGGGGATTCAAACCAAGGTTACCACGTGGATTCAGCTGCTCTGCTTACTACCACTACACCACAGAGCCAGCCTTCCACTCAAAGATTTTCTTTTAAGAGAGATATTTTTTTTTTGGAGAGGTTTTTGCCATAGGGCATGTGCACTCGCCAGAGAGACAGAGAGACAGAGAGACAGGGGATGGCCACGCCGCAATCCCTACTCCTCCATTCTCCTGTTGGGATCTTGGGCACGCACCCATATGCGCCTGGTGTGAGTTTCAAGCCACCAGGTCCAGGAGGTAAACCGTGGTCGGCTACGTGGGAGTCCAGCAACATAGCCATTACGCTAACTGCTGGTCCCAAGAGAGAGATTTTTGATGTAGGGCACGTGCACCCACCAGAGAGACAGAGAGACAGAAGGCAAGAAGTCACCCCCCTAGGGGGATGGCCATGCTGCAACAATCCCTTCTCTTCCATTCTCCACTTGGGATCTTTTTTTTTTTTTTTTTGCTATAGGGTGCGTGCACTCGCCAGAAAGACAGAGAGAGACAGAGAGACAGAAAGAGAGGAATCACCCTCCGGGGGGGATGGCCATGCCACAATCCCTTCTCCTCTCTCCTCTCGGGATCTTGGGCACGCATGCACACGCGCTCGGCATGAGTTTGAGCTGAGCCACTGAGGACTCGAACGGTGGTTGACTACATGGGAGTCCAGTGACATAGCCATTACACCACCTGCTGGTCCCCTGAAAAATTTTTTTTAAACAGAGGGCAAAAACACACCATTGAATACAGTTTAGACATCCTCATTCATATTTTGGGGGCTTATCTCTGTTCTTGATTCTTTAGCTACTTTGTTTTTCCCCTCTGGATGGGCCTCTGAAAATTCAGATTAAGCCAAGAGTAAAAAAAGATAAAGTAGCTGAAGATGAGGGTTCCAGTCCTGGACCTGGGGGCTTAAAACTTACATTGGGCATATGCATGCCCAATATCCTGAGAGGAGACTGGAGGAGAAGGGATTGTGGTGTGGCCATCCCCCCAGGGGAGGATGATTTCTTACTTTCTGTCTCTGTCTCTGTCTCTGTCTCTCTGGTGAGTGCATGCACCCTATAGCAAAAAATCTCTCTGAAAAAATATGTTCAGTTCCTTTAGGAAATAAAATTATGATTTTTCTCTTTTTTATTATTTATTTAGTTCCATTTTTAAAAAGAGTTTTTTTATTTTACTTTATTTATTTATGTATTTAAATGTGATGGGGGGAGGGAGGGAGAGAGAAAGTGAGAAAGCAAGACACCAAGTCTGGGACTCAAACCACGGTTGACCATGTAGGAGTCCAGCGCCCTTAACCATCGAGCTACCTGCTGGCACCTTATTTGTTATTGTTGTTATTATTATGTTTTAATTTGACCAAAGCAAGACAGAGAGAGAGAAAGGGACAGAGAGAGAGAAAGCAAGCCACTAGGTCTGGGACTTGAACTGTGGTTGACCATGCCACCTGCTGGCCCCAGATTATATTTTCTATATCTGCTTAACATTATAGAAACCAGTGAACTCTGGGGACTGGCAGGTGGTATTGTGGTTAAGGCGGCTGGACCCCCCACATGGCCGACTGCGGTTCGAGTCCCAGACCTGGCAGCTTGCTTTCTCATTTTCCTTCTCTCTCTCTGGTCAACTTCAATAAATTAAAAAAAATAAAATAAATGACAACGAATAAAATTAAATAATTCTTGAAAAAGAAAAAGAAACCAGTGAACTCTGGGCACGTGTGCCTTTGTGCCCAAGATCCCGAGATGAGGGTTTGTGGCATGGCCATCCTGCCTGGTGGGTGATTTCTCACTTTCTGTCTTTCTGTCTCTGGAGAGCACATGCACCATACATACATACATACATACATACATACATAAATTCAGAAAATACAATTGAAGGGGCCCAGCAGTGGGCATGGTGGCTAAGGGCACTGGACTCCCCCAGGGCTGACTATGGTTTGAGTCTTGGATCTGGCAGCTTGCTTTCTCACTTTCTCTCTCTCACTTTCTCTTGCTTTCATTCTCACTCTGTCCCTCTCTGGTCAAAACGATAAAAATAAATAAATAAATAAAGTTAAATAAAATAATTCTTTTTTTAAAAAAAGAAGAAAATATGATTGAAGATAAATCCTACCTCACTCACTTCCTGTGTAACCCTGGACAAGGAACCACACCTCTTCGTTTCTCTGTTTTCTCGTCTGTAAAAGAGGAACAATACTCCTACCCACAAGGTTGTTTTGAGGAAATGTCTTGACGTTGGTAAACACTCAGCTGAGTAGCTGGCCTGCAGCAAATGCTATCTAAGTGGCATTGCATGGGCGGGCAGTATTTTTATTATTTTTAGTTTTTGCTATAGGGTGCATGCACTTGCCTGGAGAGAGACAGACTCAGAGAGAGGGAAAATGAGAAAGCAACCCCCAGGAGGATGGCCACACCGCAATCCCTTCTCTGTTCTACTTTTGGGATTTTGACCACACAAGCACACACTCCCAGCATGTTTTTCAAGTCATGGGGTCTGGGACTCCAACCGCTGCACTTGGCCTGTGGGATCTTCTTCCAGGAGATGCCTTCTCCCAGTTTAAATGTTGTTTTTCGGATTTTTTACTGTCGGTGTTTTGCCTGTTACAAATTTCCTGAAAATGGAGCCATACAATATGTTTCTTATTGCTATCTTTGTTATCTTATGCTGCCAAAAGGAGATTTTTGCTATAGGGCTCTTGCACTTGCTGGAGAGACAGAAAGCAAGAAATCCCTGGGGGGGGGGGTTCACACCGCAATCCCTTCTCCTCTTGGGATTTTGGGCAAACACGAATACACCCAGCATGAGTTTTAAGCCACCAGGTCTGGGGCTTGAACCGCAGTTGACTATGTGGGAGTACAAAGACCATCTCTGGTCCCCTATGCTGCCTCGTAAAGAAAGAACTACTTAAGCTGTTATTTTCCCTCTGCCTCCTTTTCTTCTCCCTTCTACTCCATCCCTGCCACGTAGCTGTCCATCAAGTCATCACTGAATTCTAATTGGCCAATTCTACCGCTAGGGAACCGCCCCACCTCTTCCGCAGCAGAAACAAATCACAGGGCAAACGTGTCAAGAGGTTGGCCAATGAGAGGATGGCATAGTCCAAGCAGTCCACCAATGGGAGGGTGATGTTCCTGCCCTCTCCAACTGTCTCAGCAGCGCAACCTGCAACCTCGTGCTCTTGCAGTTTGACATCTTCCTTGTAACCTGCCTGAAAAGGTCCCTTCGAAGCCTCTTAAGGGATGCAGGATGGCAGGCCCAGACTCCCCGCAGCACTCTTGGGCCTTCCCCACTCCTCTCCTCCCAGGAGTGGATGGGAGGGGAGGCTTTTCCGCTCAAAAATAACATATTTGTAAATACATGTGTTTTCAGGATTTCTCCTTTTCTTTCTTTTCTAATGGAATGATAATTACTTCAGCTTTTGTTTTGTTTTGTCTTTAAGAAATGTTACTTTAAAATTTCAAGTATCGGCAATTTGAACATCCCTCTCCCTTTCCCCAAGTTGTGGGTGCTGAGGAGAAACATCAACCTCCTCTATCGTCTCACCTTGTCTCTCAGAGGTGAGGGCCTATGAGAAGTTAGGGACTGGGAGGGGACGTGACATAAAGCGCTCCTGTGGGCGTGTGCAGAGGATGGGGTAGGGTGGAATTACCAAAGAGCAAGTGCTTTATGGAGTGAAAAAGAGAAGACTTTTTAAAAATGTATTATTTTTTTAGAGGTTTTTGCTATAGGGCATGTGCGCCAGACAGACAGAGAGAGACATAGAGACAGAAAGCGAAAAATCACCCCCTAGAGGGGATGGTCACGCCGCAATCCCTTCTCCTCCATTCTCCTCTTGGGATCTTGGGCATGCATGCACACGCGCCCGGCATGAGTTTAAGCCACCAGGTCTGGGACTCAAACTGTAGTTGGCCACATGGGAGTCCAGCGACATAGCCATTATGCTAACAGCTGGTCCCAAGAGAAGACTCTTATGGTGTGAGATGGAGTGGGAGGTGTAGACCAGCTTCAGTGGTTACAGGAAAAATGAATGAAATTCCAGAATTGGATTTGAAACCAAAAATCAGAATGTCCGATTGCCCTGAGTGAGGGCTATTCACAGTACATTAAGAATTCAAAAGAGATTAGAGAAGTGGTATACCTGGTGACTTTCAGTGGTTACAGATGATGGGTCTTAAAAGCCATAGGGGTGTAGTCCCCAGGTGGCATGGTAGTTAAGGCACCGGACTCCCACATGGCCAGTGACAGTTCGAGCCCCAGACCTGGCAACTTGCTCTCTCTCTCATGAGCATATGTGCCTATAGCAAATTAAATAATAATGAATAAAATTAAATAATTAGTTTTTAAAAATAAATAAAAGCCATTGCATTGGGGGGAGGTGAAGGAGGCTGCTGCATGGGCTCTGAAAGATGCTGTGTTTTCATGGCCATCTTTATTTTCTTCCCCACCCTCTCTGCTTCAGACAGGCATGACTCTGCTCTTTGCACTAGGGTGCATCTTCTTCCCATTGTGCTTCGCTGTCCTACGCTGGGGCCTGCAGATGCACGCCAGCCTGCAGATGGGGAGGCAGGAGGCTGTTCTGGTGGCATCCAAGTAAGAGGGCCGGGGCGAGGCTGTCCTTCTTGGGGCCAGGGTTGGCGGGGCTGATCTCTTACTTTCTGGAAGAGCTGGTGGTGAAAGCACAAGCGGAACGTGGGGTGTGGACAGGGTTCAGAGTCAAAGGCACCAGCTATAGGATCTTTTACAAGTCAGCTAACCTCTCTGAACTTTGAGCCCCCCATTTATCAGTGGGTTTAACAATAACAACCATATTTTTTTTCATGGAGATGTTGTGTGAGGGTCTTGTGAGTCGATGTCAGTGAAATCAAGTTGCAAACTCCTGCAAATACTAGAAGAGATACATGTAGGTTCCCTGGGGACCTCGTGAGCTGGAGGACTCCCTTCCTCCAATGGGGAAGCAGCTGCTCACCACCAGCCAAATGTTATGGACTTAGAGTATGGGCCCAATGTCATATGTTCTTCTGATTCTCTCTCTCTCTTTTTTCTTAGTTTTAATTTACTTTTATTAATTATTATTTATTGTTTTTAATTTGATGAGAGAGAGAAAGCAAGCCACGAGGTTGGGGACACAAACCACAGATGGCCATATGGGAGTCCAATGCCTTAACCATCATGGCACCTGCCACATGCCATTCTCTCTTTAAAGAAGTTGAGTTTAGGGGCCAGCAGATGGCATGCTGGTTACATTGCTGGACTTCCACATGGCTGACTGTGGTTCAAGTCCCAGTCCCAGTGGCTTGAAAATCACATTGGGTGCATGTGCGTGCGTGCCCAAGATCCTGAGAGGAGAATGGAGAAGGGATTGCTGCCATCCCCCAGGGGGTGATTCCTCACTTCCCCTCTCATTGTCTCTGGCTCTCTTCGGTAGTGAGTGCACGCACACTAGGGCAAAAAACACTTTAAAATAGATTTAAAAAGGGAACCAGCAGATGGCGTGGTGGTTAAGGTGCTGGACACTCCCACATGGCCAACCATGGTTTGAGTCCTGGACCTGCTGGCTTGCTTTCTCACTTTCCCTCTCTCTTGCTCTCTGTGTCTCTCTCTGGCCAAATTAAAATAAATAAATGAATGAATAAATAAAATTAAATAATTATTTTTAAAAAGTAGATAAAAAAGAAGTCAAGTGGGACCAGCAGTCGGCGTAATGGCTACGTTGCTGGACTTCCATGTAGTTGGCTGTGGTTTGAGTCCCGGACCCAGTGGCTTAAACTCATGCTGGGGGCCTGTGTGTGCGGACATGCCCAGGATCCTGAGGGGAGAGTGGAAGAGAAGGGATTGTGGCATGGCCATCATCCCTGGGGGAGTGATTTCTCACTTTCTGTCTCTCTGTCTCTCTCTGTCTTTCGGCTGGTGCATGTGCCCTATAGTAAAAACCTCTCCAAAAAAAGAAAAATAAAGAAGTTGAGCTTTGAGGCCAGCAGGTAGCATGATGGTTAAGGCTCTGGATTCCCACATGGCTGACCATGGTTCGAATCCTGAATCTGGTGGCTTGCTTTCTCACTTTCCCTCGCTCTGTCTCTCTCTGATGAGTGCATGTGTTCTGTAGCAAAACTAACAAATAATAAGGACAACATTAAATAAATAATTGTTTTTAAAAAGAAAGAAAGAAAAGAAAAGTGTGAATGAACTTAAGTTGGGCCCGCAGGTGGCATGGAGTTTAAAGCGCTGGATCCTACATAGCCCACTTCACAGTTTGAGTTCTGGACCCAGAGGCTTGAGAATCATGGTGCGTGTGTGTGTGTGTGTGTGTGTGTGTGTGTGTGTGCGTGTGCCCAAAACCCAGAGAGAAGAATGGAGGAGAAGGGACTGCAGGGTGCTTTCTGTCTGTCTGTGTCTGTCTCTGTGGTGAGCGCATGAGCCCTGTAGCAAAAACGCTCAAAAAATAAATAAAATAAAGAGCTGTTATAAGAAAGGGCACCGCTTTACCCCATGAAAGCCAATTGTAGTGCTTTGGTCTAAAAAAACTCCCTGTAAATGGTTTGAAAAATAAAAGTAGAAACAGAGGTGGGCAGTGATGCTGCCAAGCATAATACTAACTATTACAATTATCATTAGTAGTTGTTACTATTATATAGCACCTTATAGGTTTACAAAGTACTTTCCCAGGCATAGTTTTTTGGTTCTCGTACAACAACCATATATATCTTCTAACAAAAAATATCACAGTGAATTTGAATTGAAGGGAATGCTTTACAGCACCTCCTGGGAGGGTTGAGGAGGGTGAATCTTCCTGGCAGAGTGGGGGGTGGGAATTCCAGACAGAAGGAAGAGCACAGGCAAAGATATCAAAACATAAAGTGTCCCGATACAAGGGGAACTCCAAGTACTTTCATACACAGCGTGATGGAACGAGAATGAATAAGGGCTAAGAGATGAGATTACAGTTTGAAAGCTTTTTCTGTGAAGGGCCAGAGTGAATATTTTAGGCTTTGCTGTTGTGCATCATCTCCAACAGCGTGTGTGTGTGTGTGTGTGTGTATGCGTGCATGTGCTCAAAATACTGAGAAGACAGTGGAGGAGAGGGGATTGTGGCATAGCCACCCCTCCTGGGGAAGTCTTCTCATGTCCCTTCTCTTCTCTCTCTGTAGGAGAGTGCACACATCTTGTAGCAAAAACTAAAGACAAAACAAAAACTTCAGTCACCTCACATCATGCTTAGCATGTAGTAAAAATTTGGAAGTTGGGTCCCTGTTTTCCCCTGAACCCCGAGGCCAGGAAGCTGGGTCCACTGCTGTCTCTAACTGGAAGGGAAATCTTCTCAGGGGCTTTCCTACAGTGCACCAGTAGAGGGCAGCACAAAATTGCAAATCCCAGCCCCTTGCCTCTCTTTAAGGAAGGAGCTGGAGTGGGCGTTAGGCAGAGAAAGGTGAAGCCTAGGGCCAGTTGTGGAGGTACATCTCAGGACAAGTCTGGAGACCGAAGTGCAGCTCGGTAGCAGACCCCACGGCTTCCAGAAGTCTGCAAGACAGGAAGAAGGAATTGCAGGGACACAACTTGAAAGAGAAGCAGCTTTCGCAGTGGAGCCCTGGCCAAGTCCCTGGGCCTTTCTATCCTGTGGTCAAATGAGCCAGCCAGTCCCCAAGGTCCTTCCCCCTCAACTAGACTGTCTCATAAAGGGAACTAGGAGCATCCTGAAGCTGGAGGAAGAGCCAGTGACTGGTGTTGAGGGGAGGCCAGGAGGGCCTGGGCAGCCTGGTACAAGCCCAGGTCATCCTTGGGCTCCTGGCGGGGTTTCTAGGAGACAGCATTTCCCACCTTTTCTTCAAATCCTGCATCACTAGGCCTGGTAAGAGGGCTCCTGCCACTTCTTAATTACGTGACCTTGGGGAGCCTCACTTACTGCCGCGGACCAGACATTTCCAGACCTGTAGAAACGGGCCAAATACGGTGTTAGGCCCTGTCACAAGTTACAGGAAGACAAGGGACAACCGTGCAGCAGATCAGGGGTAAGGATAGGCGTCTGGGGTTCGTCTCTCTCCCTCCCTGGGGTGAAGGAGGGAGTGTCTCTGAAGGATGCCCTGTTAGGGTGCTTTTGCTCCCACTCATTTCTTCAGCTCCTCCTTCAGAGTGGGCAAGAGGCACCACTTTCTCCCACCCCCCTCCCCGGGAGTCCTCTCATCACTGGATCTGGGCGTCCCAGAGCTGGGACCCCAGGCAGGCCCCAGAGGGACACACGCCAGGAAGCCCCGGCAGAGGAGGAGACGCCAGGCGTTTATAAAGTATGATGAGGATTGGGGTCAGGCACATCTGGGGGCTCTGAACCCCCTCCCAGCTGGCCAAGCAGCCTCCGCCACCTGCCTCCTCAAGAGAAGAGCTGTCCCTTCCCTGGCCCTTGTCCCCAGCAGCCCCCTGCACTGCAGCTGCTGTCTCTTTAAGGGCCTCCCCCCTCCCTCTTTCTCTGCTCCCCCCATCTCTGTCGCAGCCTCGGCTGTGGCTCAGAGCTGCATGGGGAGACGCTGCTGCGGGTCCGGTTTCTCGGTGTCTGGTCGGTGCCATCATTTCCCCACCCCTCCCCCGCCCTCCCC